TTGTCCCTTCGCCCCGCGGGTCGGCACAGCCCCAGGCAGAGGTGCTCGGGGGTTGTGCTGTGGAGGCAGAGGCCGTGCCCGGGGCTGTCTCCTCACTGCAGCTTAAAAGGGCTCTCACGGATATGTGAAACCCATTGCTGAACTGAAGCTGATGCTTTCGGGGGGATGGTTAACAAATCGTGAACGCTGTTTTGTTTCTGACTGCATCCTTACCGAGTGCAGTATCTCTGTGCTTTGATTTCAGAGGCAGGCTAGCAAGAATCTTAATCACATCAATTTCATTTTAACCTCTGTTTTTTTTGGTTTTTTTTTAATGTGGCTTAGTCTTACTCTATTAAAAAAAAATAATCAGTTGTCCAAAGTTTGCCATTTCGCGGAAGAGTTTAAATGAAACACGTATAGAGCCCCCTCTGTGTTTGGTTTTCGTGTAAATGAGCATGTTTCTATTACTGTGGAGGAAAGTCCATAATTATTTTTCTCTTTCTTCTTCAGAAATACCCACCTTATATTTCATCAAGCATCCCTTTCCTGGGACATGCAATTGCATTTGGAAAAAGTCCCATTGAATTTTTGGAAAATGCTTATGACAAGGTATGTTTTCCTACGTAACTGGCTGAACATATGCTCAAATATTTTTGTGTGCCTGTCAAGTTCTCTAGATGGAGCCTATCTAAAATAATTTCATTCTCGTTTACTACCTCAGGTATGGAATGGAGTGTGCACAGGAGGCTTTGGTTTCTTCAGGTCTCTTTATGTACATTGTTGTTAGAGAAATGGTGTTTCCTGAGGTATTGCTTGTGATTCAGATTTAAAAAATACACCCGTGTATTTGGGTAATGCTCATAGCTGAATCATAAGTTAATTAAAAAGCCATTTTTCCTGACATTATTTCTTGCCTTAGTTGAGAGCTTTTAATCTCACTCTTCAGGCTGGGGGAAGTATGAAGAAGTTGTCTGAGAAGCTATGGGTCAGGTGAGGCAAGCTAAAGCCCAGATAGAGTTAAACCTGGCTAGGGACATCAAGAGTAATAACGAGGGTTTCTAGAGGTCCATCAGTGATAAGAGGCAGAACAGGGAAAATGTGTGCCCTCTCCAGAAGGAAACAGGAGATCTCATCACGCAGGATATAGAGAAGGCTGAGGTGCTGAACAACTTTTTTGCCTCAGTCTTCACTGAATCCAAATCACAGAATGCAAAGGCAGAGACTGGGAAAAGGAAGATATGCCCACTGGAGGAGGAAAGCAGGTTCAAGACCACCTAAAGAACCTGGAAGTGCACAGGTCCACCCACAGCTCCCAAGAGAGCTGACAGATGAAGTTGCAACACCGCATTACATCATATGTGAAAAGTAATGGCAGTCTGGTGAAGTTCCCACTGACTGGAAAAGGGGAAACGTTAAGTCCTATTTTCAAAAAGACCCATGGAACTACAGGCCAGACAGTCTTACCTCTGTGCCTGGCAGGATTGTGGAGCAGATCCTCCTGAAGGCCCTGCTGAGGCATATAGAAAACATGGAGGTGATTGGCAGCAACCAACATGGCTTCACCAAGGGCAAATCATGCCTGACAAATTTTGTGGCCTTTTATGATGGGGTCGCAGCATTGGTGGACAAGGGAAGAGCAACTGATGTCATCTACCTGGACTTGTGCAAAGCCTTCAACACTGCCCTGCATGACATTCTGGTCTCAAAATTGGAAGGATATGGATTTGATGGATGGACCACTGGGTGGATGAGGAATTGGCTGGATGGTTGCACTCACAGAGTAGTGATCAACGGCTCGATGTCCAGACAGAGACCAGTGACAAGTGGTGTTCCTGAGGGGTTGGTACTGGGACCGCTGCTGTTTAACATCTCTGTTAGCAACATGGACAGTGAGACTGAGTGCACCCTCGGCAAGTTTGCTGGTGACACCAAGCTGTGTGGTGTGGTTGACACCCTAGAGGGAAAGCGGGCCATCCAGAGGGACCTTGACAGGCTGGAGGGGTGGGCCAGTGCCAACCTCATGAAATTCAACAAGGCCAAGTACAAGGTCCTGCATCTGGGTTGGGGCAGTCCCAGGGACAAATACAAATAGGGCAGATAGGGGTGTGTAGTGGCAGGATGAGGAGTAATGGTTTTAAACTGGAAGAGGGTAGATTTGGATTAGACATTAGGATGAAATTCATTACTGTGAGGGTGGTGAGACACTGGAACAAGTTGTGGATGCCCCCTCCCTGGAGGTGTTCAAGACCAGGTTGGATGGGGCTTATGAGCAACCTGATGTAGTCAGAGGTGTCCCTGCCCATGCACGGGAGTTGGAACTTGATGATCCTTAAGGTCCTTTCCAACCCAAACCATTCTGTGATTCTATGATTTACTAACCTGTGATCAGGCTGGAGTATAGCTCACCACTTCTGTAGGCAATTTGATGAATTTTAAGGCCCGCTCCAATGTTAAAAGGCCTGATGTATAAACCTCAGTACGTTTTATACTATAACAGTACATAAGAAATAGACTAAGGCAGTAGAGCCTTTCTTTCAGTGAAATAAGATTGATCTGTTTCGCATTGTCTAAAACTTTAAATCTCGAGTCATAAGCTTAAATCTTATCTTGGTTAGTGTATATATAGCCAAATATAGTACATGAAGATTTACTGAAGATGAACTTTAAACTTAGAACTCATATTTTCTCTTAATAACATATGTGTAACTCCAAATCCAGAATTTTTTGAGACAGTGTTAGTAGATTGCTGGAGGCTATGTATGCTGTAATCTCCCTTCTATTTTTTTTAGTGTGATGGATCTTTCATTTATATTTTGAAATTAAATGGTTTTTAAATGTGCAAGATCCTGTGTGTTCATTATAATGTTAGATATCACTAGTAAGTATATTAAGAACAGAATTTAAATGTGGCTTAAAGTATATCTTTAATATATCTGCAAATACTTCTTAGGAGAATGGTTTATGGAAGACTGTACATAAAGCGATGTGGATTTAATGAGTTGTATACTCATTTATAATGAACTGGTGTTTTGTTTTCTCTCTTAGTATGGACCTGTATTCAGTTTCACTATGGTTGGCAAGACATTCACATATTTACTGGGCAGTGATGCTGCTGCTCTACTCTTCAATAGTAAAAATGAAGATTTAAATGCAGAGGATGTATACTCTCGATTAACTACACCTGTTTTTGGCAAAGGAGTTGCTTATGATGTCCCTAATATGGTATGTATTTTAAATACAAGTACAAAAATGGCATAATTTTCATTTTGAGTAGGCAGCCTGGATCTCCTCGCTGTGTATGATGGAGTTGTGCGTTCATATGCATTTCTGCCATACTGCACTTGGTAAATTGTCTCAGTTGGATAATCAAGAGGGAACAAATTTAGGCTGCTTTATTTACTACCTGGTCATTCATCAGTCTGGGTGCTGTTTTTATTGTAACCATCTAATCCCACCCTAGAGGAAAGATGAGTGAGTCTATTTTGCCTTCCTTTACAGCATGCCACTGACTGCAGTTTACTTTTCCCTTACAAGCAGCTTTAGGGCTTCCTTCTGATAGAGCTTTAAGAGTGATAATTTTTTATTTATGCCACACCAAAATCTAGGTACAGGAGTATTAATTTGACAATTTGCACCACAAAGTTTGTCTTGCTCAGGCAAAGATCAGTCTATATATGTTTGCAGAGAACAGTCTGCATGGGTCTGGAAACACAGTCGCTGTGTCATCATGTTGCATTGTTTCTGAGCTAAGCGTTGGCCCCTTTCTTGTTTGTGCATGTTGCCTGGCATGGCAGACTCTTAAACTGCAGAAGCCAACCTTTCAGTGGACAAACTTGCTCCAGTGAGACTGCATTTAGTGTATGTTGCACAACAGAGTAGTCTGGTGGCAGAAACAGCACTGTGATACACTTCAGTTTTAGATTTTCAGTTTTGGCTCAATTTTGTTTGTATAAATGCCAATCATTCGAGCAGTAACAGTATCTGTGGCCATCAGTACTTTTCCTCCCTAGCATACCTCTTAATTCTTCCCTGCCAAAGGTACTTGCAGTGATTGTTGCCCACTTCATTATGTGGCCCAGGGGCAGTAGTCACTAGTCTCTTTTCCTCCACAGTGGCATTTCGCAGTGATCCACAAAAGTATGTATGTTGTTTTTACCCCATTCTTTTGGAAACCTCATTTACAACTGACTACCAACAACTTGATACTTCAGAAATAATTAAAGGAGAACTTAATTGTCTCCCACTTTGTCAGAAGTGTCAAATTGTGGATAGACCGTGTCACAAAGTTTTGGGGGGGTGATTCTTTGGTTGTTTGGATGGTGGTTGTATTTCGCACTTGCTGGATTTGCGTATCTCCTCTTATCCCTTTGTAAATTAAACCAGCAGGACTGCAGCCTGGTTACCAAGTAGGAGGTTGTTTCTTGTGTCCTAGGAGACCTCTTCCACAAGTGGGGCCATTCTAACAGACTTATTTCTACCACTTCTAACAGTCAGAGGTCTTCCTCAAAAAGTCGAGGAGAGAGTCGAGAATCTCTTTTGGAGCTGGTAGAGTGCAGAGGGTTCATGGTTCTCTGCAGTACGTCTTTCATGTTCTTCTCTGGTATACACTAGTTTCAGAGAAGTGTCTGTGAGTCAGATGTAGACTGCTGAGTTGGCCAGGTTTTCAGTGTTATAGAATTGTTTGGGTTGGAAGGAACCTTAAACATCATTTAGTTTAAACCCCTCTGCATGGGCAGGGCTAGACCAGGTTGCTCAGAGCCCCATCCAGCCTGGTCTTGAACACTTCCAGGGAGAGGTCATTAATTTCCAACAACGGCCACCAGTCTTTGCCCTGCCCTGCAGGAGCCCCAAGCCCTGGGGGCAGCAAAGATGAGGTGCTGCTGCCTTCCATGGCCCTGCTTACCAGGCATCCCCAAGCCTGCTCTTAGCTTCTGGCTAATGAGCCTTCTGGATGTGAGTTATGGTGTTGTGCTTGTTCTTTGAATTCTGTTGCAGGATGTCTGCTTGAAACCCAAAGGTGCTGGGTTGTCTCTTAATTCTGAGGAAGTTCATCCACTTGTTACAGCTGTTTGGATTTCTGCTTTCACACTCTGCAGTTCATGATCTAGGTACAGGAGTATTAATTTGACAATTTGCACCACAAAGTTTGTCTTGCTCAGGCAAAGATCAGTCTATATATGTTTGCAGAGAACAGTCTGCATGGGTCTGGAAACACAGTCGCTGTGTCATCATGTTGCATTGTTTCTGAGCTAAGCGTTGGCCCCTTTCTTGTTTGTGCATGTTGCCTGGCATGGCAGACTCTTAAACTGCAGAAGCCAACCTTTCAGTGGACAAACTTGCTCCAGTGAGACTGCATTTAGTGTATGTTGCACAACAGAGTAGTCTGGTGGCAGAAACAGCACTGTGATACACTTCAGTTTTAGATTTTCAGTTTTGGCTCAATTTTGTTTGTATAAATGCCAATCATTCGAGCAGTAACAGTATCTGTGGCCATCAGTACTTTTCCTCCCTAGCATACCTCTTAATTCTTCCCTGCCAAAGGTACTTGCAGTGATTGTTGCCCACTTCATTATGTGGCCCAGGGGCAGTAGTCACTAGTCTCTTTTCCTCCACAGTGGCATTTCGCAGTGATCCACAAAAGTATGTATGTTGTTTTTACCCCATTCTTTTGGAAACCTCATTTACAACTGACTACCAACAACTTGATACTTCAGAAATAATTAAAGGAGAACTTAATTGTCTCCCACTTTGTCAGAAGTGTCAAATTGTGGATAGACCGTGTCACAAAGTTTTGGGGGGGTGATTCTTTGGTTGTTTGGATGGTGGTTGTATTTCGCACTTGCTGGATTTGCGTATCTCCTCTTATCCCTTTGTAAATTAAACCAGCAGGACTGCAGCCTGGTTACCAAGTAGGAGGTTGTTTCTTGTGTCCTAGGAGACCTCTTCCACAAGTGGGGCCATTCTAACAGACTTATTTCTACCACTTCTAACAGTCAGAGGTCTTCCTCAAAAAGTCGAGGAGAGAGTCGAGAATCTCTTTTGGAGCTGGTAGAGTGCAGAGGGTTCATGGTTCTCTGCAGTACGTCTTTCATGTTCTTCTCTGGTATACACTAGTTTCAGAGAAGTGTCTGTGAGTCAGATGTAGACTGCTGAGTTGGCCAGGTTTTCAGTGTTATAGAATTGTTTGGGTTGGAAGGAACCTTAAACATCATTTAGTTTAAACCCCTCTGCATGGGCAGGGCTAGACCAGGTTGCTCAGAGCCCCATCCAGCCTGGTCTTGAACACTTCCAGGGAGAGGTCATTAATTTCCAACAACGGCCACCAGTCTTTGCCCTGCCCTGCAGGAGCCCCAAGCCCTGGGGGCAGCAAAGATGAGGTGCTGCTGCCTTCCATGGCCCTGCTTACCAGGCATCCCCAAGCCTGCTCTTAGCTTCTGGCTAATGAGCCTTCTGGATGTGAGTTATGGTGTTGTGCTTGTTCTTTGAATTCTGTTGCAGGATGTCTGCTTGAAACCCAAAGGTGCTGGGTTGTCTCTTAATTCTGAGGAAGTTCATCCACTTGTTACAGCTGTTTGGATTTCTGCTTTCACACTCTGCAGTTCATGGATGGGTTTGAGTGCCCATCTTCATTCTAGAGATAAGTTCTTTGATGGGAACTAGTCTCATCCTTCAGGAGTTTTATAGAACTTTCTATAAGCTCATTGGAAATGGGCATATCTTACAACTATATTCTTCAGGCATATAGGGATGTTTAAGGCCTTCTTCATTGGTGTACCATATATTGAGGTTTTTTTCTGAAATAAGGTCATTTTCTAGAGTTACTCTGGTTTTTTGAGTGGGTTTGATTTTTGTTGGTTTGTTGGTTTGGTTTTATTTTTCCCTGGAGTATATTTGAGTTCTACTTCAGTTGAGAGATTAACTTTTCATATTACTCGGCAAGTCTTGGGTATCTGTGAATAAATCTACTTAATTCATAACTTTGATACGAGAAGGACTTTGTTTTTATCTCAGAAGATTCAGAAAGTCACCTGTGTTACTTTTTTCCACAACTAGGAGATGCAGGGACTTTGCTAGTGGCATACACTGGTTACCCTTACTGTGTGCTTCCCTGTATGAAGCTCGAGGGGTAGTATATGCAGTTGTAGTCAAAATGTGTTCTGCTACAGGTAAGCTGGTCCCACCACCTACCACCATGATTTAATTTCAGACATCCACTGGGAGGGCATTTGGAGAGCTGTTCAGACTTTCATTTGTGTCCTACTGTTGATGTATCCTCCCGAACTTTCATTTGAGGGTCTGTTTCACAGCCCAAGCTGTTAGAGTCTCTGTCTTTTCAGTCTGACAGTGACTTTCAGTCATATGTTTACAAGAATCACCCCTTACACCTTAAAAGGAGTAAGTTACCTATTTACTAGTAATCCTGGTAATTGTTGGTTAATATGCATTGTCTGTATATCAACTCATATTCACTCTCTGTATTCTTCCTTCAAAACTTGCAGATAGTTTGTGTTCGGAGGAGCTGAAATGGCAGAGAATGTTTCCTCCTGATCTCCATCAGCAGGAGATGGAGATGGACTAGCATGTTGCCGGGGAAAATGTGCTTGTCTCTTTGCTCTGTGGCATGTGAACGCTCTGATAGATTGCTGGAGTCCCCACTGATTTCTGAAAACAGAAGTTTCTAAGAAGTAACCTTTCTTATGCCTTTTGTTTTCTGAATAACTTTATAGTATGTGCAGACTCCTCTGTGGGAAGACATTGGTGGGATGAGCAACAGCTCATGGTGTAGTACATAACTGTAGGGCAGATGCCCTAGTTCATATTTGGGGCATAAAATTCCTTGAATAATTTTCTGAATAGACGTCCTGTCAATCCATTGAATGGTGCTCATTGGGCTATTTACCAGTAGGCTTGTTAGCTATGAGTCTATACAAAGAAAAGAGGAAGAGGTGAGAAGAGCACGAAGCTCACCATTTTCCTAGGAAGCAGTTTGTTTCCTGGGCAGGGAGGTCAGATGGCCTTGTAGAAGAAAGATACATCCCTAGACCAGAGGCAAGTTCTGCATGAGAGAGGACAGATGCTCCAGGGGGAGAGAAAGCAAAGAGGCCATATAACAAGGAACACAGGCTGAATCCAGGCTTTGCAAGGACACGTCCTATTATGTTTGTGATTATGCATTTAAGGTGTGTTCCATATTTCAATCTCAAATGCTTCTTGTATCTTTAGGGATAAAGTTTAACAAAAATACTATAACTATTTTCTGTTTTGATACTGCAAAAGGGAGAAAAGTATCTCCCTTGAGCTAGTATTTTACTTTGATGTTACTAACTTTTGCTTGAAAAACAAAGAAGGTGAAAATGGAATATTGTCTATTATTTAAAGTTGAGTATCTGTTGTACCCTACAATCCTAACCATAGTGACTTTTTACTTTTGTGTGTACTTATACGCTACAAGTTATAAAAAGTGTTTAATTACATTAATATTGTGATCCTTGTACTGATTGCTTTTTCTGTCTTTGTTCCTTTAGGTATTTTTGGAACAGAAGAAGATGCTCAAAACTGGGCTAAATATTGCTCAGTTTAAACAGCATGTATCTGTGATTGAAGAAGAAACAAAGGAGTATTTCAAAGCATGGGGAGAGAGTGGAGAAAAAAGTAAGCAAGATCAGATGCATTTTTCCTCCAGTTTTCTGGGAAGGAATTAAGGCCAATGCCATATGTTTCTGTAAATGACTTGCTACAATATCAAAGAAATTTAAAATGACATAGGTAAAACTATACTGGAAACATGCAAAATACAGATTTTGTTTAACCAAATTTAAGGCTATTGGGGAATAAAGCTGCTCAGAAAATCATTGGCAGGAGTGAAGGACTGTCTTTTGGTTTCTTAGCTCATAGAGTGTACCTGTTGCCTGGCTGAATTGTGCTTGTTCTGCATGGTAGGAGTCAGCTCAGCATGAACACTTAGTCCCTAGGAAAATGTCCTGCTCTAACGTCCCAGAGCCTGGATCAGCGATCTTAGCTCAGGGATTTCCTACACTGAAAAACTGCATCCTTCAAGCTGATGTGGTTACGTTAATGATGCAAGTGGACTTACTCTTTTGTTTCCTACCTGTCTTTCCCAACTAGCCTGCTAGATGTAGCCAATCACAATTGTTACAAGCCCACAGTGACATAACAGTATCAGAAATATTATGTATTTAAATATTTAAATATATACTGATTAAATATATGAGATATATTATATATACTTTGTATTTATTATGTATTTTATGTGTATATAATGATAATATATACATTTCTATTTAAATGTATAAAATTATGATATAAAAATAATTCAGTGAGCAGCAAAACTAACTGGTTATCCATTTATTTGGATTTCAAGATTAAGTTTTTGTATGACTTCTTTTATATTTATTAAGGATTGAGCTTGTGCTGCATGGCTTACTTCAGAGGGATTACAAGCTCTCCTAGAAAGATCTCTAAAAAGAAATACCTAAGAAAAAAGTTGGTGAAATCAGTGATCTAATTTAAAATGTTTGGAGAGACCTGATAGACAGACAGCAATTTAAAATTAGATGCTTCATTCTCCTAATAAAGCAATCTGCATTTCTACTTAAAAGTTTTAATGTGTCCAGTTACTTAAATACAAAATAAGAATAAAGAATTAACATGTAAAGTACAACAGCTCACCTGAAATGCAACTTCAGTAACATTTTTCAAATCTCTCCTCAGACCTTTTTGAAGCCCTTTCAGAACTCATCATTTTGACAGCAAGTCATTGCTTACATGGCAAAGAAATCAGAAGCTTGCTGAACGAGAAGGTGGCTCAGCTGTACGCTGATTTGGATGGGGGTTTTACTCATGCTGCCTGGCTTCTGCCAGGTTGGCTGCCTCTGCCAAGCTTCAGGTACCAGAAACACTAGATGAAGCAACTGAAACATTTTATCTAAACCTCTTTAGGGGTTTTTGTTTGTTTGTTTTTCTTTTTTAATTCCTGTTTATTGTTTAAAAGCTAATCTAGATGTCCCAGTAGATCCTCATAAACATTTTGTGTTACTTTGTATCAAGTTGCTAACAGAGGTGTATTGAATCACAGACGCCGAGATAGAGCACACAGAGAAATAAAGAACATTTTCTACAAGGTTATCCAGAAACGTCGGAAGTCTGAGGAAAAGGAGGATGACATGCTGCAAACTCTACTCGATGCTTCATACAAGTAAGCCAAGAGTTTGAAGACTTGTTATTTATTGATGTTTAGCTTTGAGTTAAAACTATCTATCAAAAAATAAGAAATATTCCCTCGTGTTCTGAATTGCTTTGTTGCCAACAATTGGTCCTAGTTGTATTCTTAAAAACAGCTTTAACACTTTACAAGTAAATGGTTATTCAGATTTCTGAGATGTTAATCAGTGGTCATGAGGTTGCTTCTTTTCTCTTTGCTGGCTGTTCAGTAATGATTTTCTTCAAGGCTCCTGTAGAGTCTCTGTCCCTGTTCTCCCTTCTTCTGACCTCTAGACCTTTTGCTGCTACTTTTAGAGTAGTCAACAAAAGAGAAAGAAGTGCATCAGAAGAAACTGTAAATGCTACCGTGACTGGAAACCTTATCAAGGGAAGCTGTAACATAACCCCCTTTTCCCTAGGGATGGCCGCCCACTGACGGATGATGAAATTGCAGGGATGCTGATCGGGTTGCTGCTGGCAGGGCAGCACACGTCCTCCACCACCAGTGCCTGGCTCGGCTTCTTCATTGCCAGGGACAAGCCCATCCAGGAACAGTGCTATGCAGAACAAAAAGCAGTTTGTGGGGATGATCTGCCACCATTGACTTATGACCAGGTTTGTAGGTTACGTTATTCCTGCT